CTTCATCGACATGGAAAGAAGTGGTGCGCAGTGGGAAGTCCGCGCGCTTTGTTTCGCTCAGAGGATGGGAATCGAGGCAACATGGAATTTCACTCATAAATAGAATTTCCATTTTTTTTCCATAACATTAGGCATGGTTGTGATCGCAGAGACTTCTACTTTCAGAAAACTACCAAGTTTTTTTTCGAACTCCCAAATCACCCTTTTATAAACTCAAAAACTAAACCTTGCAGCAATTACGTTACGATACAAACCTCTTCATTTGAAAGGTTATATCTTTCTTCAAAAGCGGTTTCATGAGATGGGATACAAAAATTTGAAAACTACAAATAATTTTCTTTCCAAAAAGTTTTTGAAGTTTTGCAAATGTTCAATTCTTTGGAAAAGTTCCGTTGTTCCTTTTTTAGGGGTCCGATTTTTGAGAAGGCGCGAGTTTTCGACATTCAAACGTTCATAACTTTCTTCATAATCAACTTTTTGCAGATGTTCTAAGGCTAATTAGAAACTAGAAGATTAGAGCTTTCGAATAAGCTAAAACTTTTTAAAAATCACTCTCAAAAAATAGTCCCGTTGTTCCGTTTTTTCCACCTTGATTTTTTTCAAGCCATTTTCCTGGAACGCGACTATGCAATCTTCAAACGTCCCATAATTCCTCAAAAATTCATATACTGAGAGGCGGTAAAAATTATTGAAGTCTTCATAAAGATTGGTTTCCCTCAGAATAGCTTTCTTCTGCCAGAATTTCTGAGATGGTCCATAGAAGTCAATTCAGCTTTAACTTTCTTCCACTTAGATTTGCTCTGAGAGCATCAAGATTTTTTGAAGAAGTTTGTCTGCTCACGGCTGCTGAGCTGAAGTGTTTTGAAATGAAAACTCCAGCTCGGGGTACGCCGTGCATCTGTCTGTGGTTAGCAGTCGCACCAGCGATTTGAAGTCCGTCACTCCTGGAGCCGGTCAACACAGTGCGTTTCAAAGTGTATGTGCACACCCTCAAAATTCACGTTTGAAAGGGAACCATGAGGTTTCGTGCTATGAAATCCGTCTCAATCGATTTCTCGTAGTCGATAACCTATCAATGGAAGCAAAGCAGATAATATCGCTTCACTTTCGAAAAAAAATTTTGGATGAAATTTTTTTCTTTGTTTCAAAAGTATGTGCACACTTAACAAAAGACAAAAACATAGCTGAGATTAGAAATCAGTGGGGCCTCCAGAGTTTCTAATTAGCTCAAACATCCTGTCCGGCATAATCTGAACCACGTTTGGCATAGCTGTTTCGTCGCTGTCGGCCCAAATAGACCTCTGACCGCGCCGTCTTCAGCTCATCCGCGGTATTATACTTGCGGTATGGCTAAAGCTGTGAACGCTGGACACAAAAAAGCTCCCTATAGAGTGCACAAGAAGGAGGACACACAGAGGCCAATTCTATTGCATTCACGCGACAATGGTGACTTAAGGCAAGATTCGGGATAGAAATAGGTGTGGAAAAGCGTTCAGTTTGAAGCTAGAGGTGGGAGAGGTGGTCTGGAAAAGAGAAGGAAAGCAAACGAAACCATCGATTACGCCCCGTACAGAGACCTTCCCCTATTTCAGCCACATTCCACCTTTGGATAGAGAAGAGGCGAATTGGACGAGTTTCACGAACCTAACTCTACTTGCTCCAGTGTCAATAACATTGGATCGCGCTGGGACCACTGCCTCAAATGCGCCCGCGCTTTTCAAGCAGCGCCACGTGGCAACCGACAGCGAAGGGTGGGGCTTGCGGACGAAGGTGTGAGTTGCGGGTTGGACGAGAGGCTTTTTGCGCCTTTGTCGGCGTACTCTCAGCCGAAAAGGGCGCCGCGACATCAAACACTGTCCAACCTGCTTATTACTTCCTGGATGGAACCAGCGAGCCCGCCTGATCGCGGAGCGTGCCTTCAACGCCATTCTTTGGTAGATTGCGAAGCGTCAAAAGACACGTGGTCCAGATAGATAAATGCATTTTTCGGCTCCGATTTCGTTAAAGCAAACAGTGCCAGGGCAGGGTTCTAACCATTTCGGTTTCAAGTGAGGTAGAGAAACAATTGCCAAGCAGCTGTGCAGAGCGCTTGCTCGACTAGCGGTCGTTGCGGGACCGCCGCGCTGTATGAGGTCGATTCCATAAGAACGCAATTGAAGCGCTTCAATTTCGATTGCTGGCAAATAGTTATGTATTTGCAAGCATGCATGGCTATTTGCCAGCAGTTGCAATTGGAGCGCATGTACTACGGGCAGGTTCGGACAACTCGTCCAACACACGTCTCCCTAAACGGCAGGGGGAGTCCCTGTCTAAGCCCCTGCCCGACGTTTTTTTCTACTTTTTCTTTCTCCATTGACCAACTTCTCACCTGCAACGTCATTATAGGTAGTCCTTACCCGCGAATTCGTTTCCGTGATATGCCTGCGTTAAGGAAGGACAACAGGTGAACACGGAGTACATGCTGCGTTAGGTCTTCTTTACAGTTCGATACAGCACAATTATGAGACGCGCTAATTCTAAGAATTTTCGCTGACTGCGAAACCGCCAGAGACCCATGTGTCGAGCGGGCCATACTTCGAAATTCCTCTTCGAAAGCTACAGAGCACGTCGATTGGCCTATGGCTCTCAGTGGGGTTAGCGAAAATCCCCCGGACCGTCAAACAGTCGAACTCTTTGCCACGGAGATTACAGAATTACCCTCTGAGAAGAGAAGAGTCACTAGTTGCTTGTTGTGAAAATAGGAAATCCTTGAAAAACCGTGTCTTCGCCCGGTGTCCTATCCTATGTTGCCATGCCTTGTACGAGCAGACTCCAATGTGGCTAATCTTGTGCTGGGCCTTGAAGTGAGTAGCCTTTCTCTCAGCGTCTCTGTCGAGTGATGTATTCATTTGAGCGGATGAGGGGCTTAGTGGTCATTTTCGAGGCTGGAATAAAAATCTGAGCTCGGACTGTCAATGAAGAATCCGACAGGATGTGGGCTACTCTTTTGTTGTTCTGAGCAGTCAAGGATCGTGGATGGAGGAGGAGTGTGTGCTGAGTATAATTATCAGGGTGCCAGATAAATCTTCGAATGCATTAAGGAGAACGACCAAGTTATCGTGCGATTTCTAGATTGGAACGTTCATTATCATGCAGAACCTTGATCTGAGCTTGCTCATCTTCAGGAAGAAGTATGGCGCGAATTGACATGATGACGAAATGAAAACAGCAAAGTCGGATTGAAATCGGTGGAAAATTCGGCGCCAAAATCTGATCTTCTTCAAGTGTGCACATACTTTTGAAACAAAGAAAAAAATTTCATCCAAAATTTTTTTCCGAAAGTGAGGCGATATTATCTGCTTTGCTTCCATTGATAGGTTATCGACTACGAGAAATCGATTGAGAAGGATTTCATAGCACGAAACCTCATGGTTCCCTTTCAAACGTGAATTTTGAGGGTGTGCACATACTTTTGAAACGCACTGTAGTATCGCGATAGTAGTTGCGTTTTACTGCTACATGGAATCCTGTTTTCTCCATGCATTTCACCGCGGGTCCCTGTGTATACGACCCCCTCCCCTTTCGTTCGGCCAAATACGACCCCTCGTTGTTCTTTGCGCAACGGGCGGTTGACCCTGCTCGGAACATGTTATGCAAGGACCCTGACGGTCTCTCATACTGCAACCTGGGACCACATGTACTTAATGCTCACTTAACAACTGCTACTGACTATGCGATCCCTTCTGAGGAACTCAACGAGATGAACGTGAAGTGATGAAGCAACAGACACGGTGAATAAAAAGGCATGTAGAGATTGGCTACTGAAATTTCATGAAGACAGCTACGGCCTTGGAGTACTATGTAGCAAGTCAATTAGTGATCTACTGTAGTTGCGTCTTGCTGTCGCTTCGTTTACCAACAGCCCGTGAATTTGAAGGCAGAGGTTAAAGGTTTGCTCATCTTCGTAATCGGCTGTGCTAAGACAACTAGTGGTAAGCGCGGGAGGAGAGTATGGGGCGAGGGGGCCCAACTGAAAGGAGAGCACCAGGCAACAGCCTGATAGAAAAAAAAGAAACTGTGAAGGCCCTAGCGCTCTTGTCGGTTGATTTTTGTGCACTTGAATGCCACATACGTGATTGTCCTCTACGGGACTATACCACAGATTGAAGGGAATCGTTCACACGACTTCTGCCTTGGTTGTCCTTTAAATCCCGGGCAAATGTCGATTAATTATCAAAAAATTGTTTAAGACAATTCCCTGTCCCCTTGATTGGGACAGGATCCCTAGTTCAACCCCACGACTATCGCTTGAGAGTCTTCAAATACTACTCCCTTTCCACTATCACTAATACACTGAGAGAAGGATGCGACCCCTTCCAAAAACAGAAATACGATTCTCCGGTGTTTTTTTTTTGACAGTCCAGTCGCAATTTTCATAGGATTTAACGAGAAAAAATGCGTGAAGGTTCGGCCCACGCACGGATGATAATAGTGAGCCCATGGCTAACTTCTTTAGAAAAATTTTGAAGGAATTATACGAAGAATTTCGCCTCTCTCGTCTATGGCACCCGAAAAGCAGATGACAAACTTTGCGACTAATCGTGGCGCGTAATGTAATGCACGTAATTAGATCTGGCAACAATTCCAGCGATGCGTCAGCGATTCCATCGCAATAATCAGCAGCGCATTGCACGTACCCCTCGATTGCGCGATTCGCCAGCAATTTATCGCGAAATCTGACTGCTGCCAAAGCAGCGGTCACTGAGACGTTTTTAGTGGAACTGCCACACGATAAGCGTGACTGTGTAACCCGATAGCATCGCACTTTGTTGGCACTATATGTTACTCACATTCGCCAAGTCACTGTGTAAGAATCATCCCTCGAATCACACCATGAAAACTTTCCAGTGGAATTCAAGCCAAGTTCAGCCGCGACGGGGACAAATTTTCGCTATATTTTTGTTTGATGATAATGGTAAAAGATCACCGAAGGGTTGTGAAAAATAGTCTGAAATGCAACCAGCAATTATAGAAGGCCTAAGATGAAACTGTGCATAATGCGAGAATTCCAGGAAGCTCACAATAAAGTTCTTCGTGTAGCTCCAATACTGTTCCAATGCATCTATTGCATCAGACGTCTCTTCTATTGCTCCTTCATCCTCATCTGATTCGTCGTCCGCGGCACCTCGAGACGTAGCCAATAGGTTGGGATTTGTCACTAGAGACCACTCCTCTGCAGTAGCACCCGCTGGTAGACTCTACAAGAAAACTCGATAACGCTGCAGTGAATGAAATTTCCTTAGCAGTATCACTTGCATAAAAAAGAACCAAACAGAAAGCACCTGTGCCAAAAGACCTTGAGAGCGCCACCACTCAAGACGTCGTCGAGCAACTCCTTTGGATATTGAAAGCCGCTCCGTCACCTCAGATACAGTCCAGCTTTCTGAAAATACACGGTTTGGGTGAAACTTTAGAAGCAAACCAGTGCCTCAAAAATGAAAATCATCTAGAGTCTGATCTACTGAATGGAGTACGACTAAATTACAAATCATGTCATTAGGGCAACTCTGAAACAGACGATCGGTATCTTGCCTTTCTCTAAATACAAGTAGAGGACGGCTGCGATTGGATTTGGTACCACCTTATCCACCTCCACGTCTCCCAGCTTTAATGTGACCTCCACACACCTGCAACAATAAAGAATCAAACCAGATAATTTACCACAAAGTTTTCTGAAGCATTCACGTCAGATGAATAAAGTAGCACCCTTCTCAAACTATTCGTTAGCTCATACCCGGATTAATAGTTACGAGTATTTCTTTTAGCGCTCTTGTCCTCACGGGGAACCTTCGAAAGAGAGCATTCAAAAACCGCTGCATAATGGCGCTAATACTAAGTCCAGAAGAGGAGAGAAACGCCACGGAAAACAAGGGTTGCTCACGTCCTTCCCACGAATTCTTTACTCTCCCCAAGGCTTGACCCCAACTTCTGTGGCTCACTACAGTATCTCGAGCGCCATAATTTTTCCACAGCTTAAACTAATTACTGAAAACATGGTTGCATTAAGTTACAGAAAAGGCATGTGTAGAACCGCACCCAACTGCCCGTAGCCACTGCAGACGACGTGACTCTTTGTGATCCATGAACGACTTCTCGTATTCCACTAGAGCTTCTTCTAGTGCTGGAGGAAACTCCTTAAAGCCAAATAACAAATATACTCGATAAATTACCAAGGCTTTCTTGAAAACATACGGGAACCGTTTCGGAGTGGATTTTTGGCCAAAAATGAGATGAAATTACACATGCCGACACTGGGATACACTGAAAAGTTGAGCGTTTCTCTTTGTTCCTACGAACACAAAATTATAAGTACTCAACTGGGCTAATAGCAATAAACTAACCTTTCTTCCTAGGGCAGTTCTGTCAATTCGTTGACTATCTCTAATATCTTTGAGCATTACTTCACACTGTTGGAGCTCACCTTCGTTGAATCGAAGCTTTAGCAAGTCCAAATATCGTCGCTCAAAGATCGGCTATAAAATGGCACCGTTTCACCAAATTTGACTTTCTATTGAATTGCAATCATTTCATCAATAGGAGATTGGGTAAGAAAGCTTGCACAGACATTGTTTAAAGGAAAAACTTATAGCAAGAAAATTATTGTTATAAGGAGTTGTGCATGATTTTAAGAATCGAGCAGATTTACCACCGCCATTTCACCTCTACCATGCATAACAGTAAGTGACTAACGTCTTTGGTGTTACTGCTTGTAAGCCGTTCTGCCAGCAATTGACGGTACTCCTTGACAAACATTTCCTTGCTACCGTAGACTGAGACAAGCATATTAAAGACATCAGCAGCTTGACGGAATCGACCGCTCTCCCCTGAAATGAAATGAATTGAGCTTGGAGGCTTACATGTATTACTATTTGTAATGCTTGTAGCTTCGAAATACACAGCTCACCAGGGCTCACATCTATCGGATCAGGCATCCAGTGCCGCCACTGCGATAAATTCATAGCTTCAGGAAGGAAATCGTCATTAGCATCATTGAGTTCATCTTCATCTACGATTGTACCACATCTGTTGGCCTACAATCATGACAACAAATTAAATGACTGCAGTTAGGACAACTTCGCATTACAGCTCTTAAGAAAACTATAACAAAGATACCCACCAAGTGTGCTGCGAGGTCGTCGCGCTTCTCAGAGGTTATATAGTTGATAATTTGACGAACGGTATCTGGTCGCCTTCTATACAATTCAAAAACTCAGTAAATTCGAATAAAAAGGGCAACTGCGAATGCAAAAAAGAATGAGCCTACTTCAAGTATTCTTTGATTACTTTACACACGCGATGCATGATAACACACGACGGATCCAACTCACGAAGCGATTCAACACAGAGTGAGTAACCGTTGAGAATAGCCGGTGTGTCAACAGCTAGAAAAATATTGTATCATCACTAATACCCAAGTTTGCAAACCATCGCTGCTTGAAGTCATAAGGCGCTACATTGAGGCGGATGCAATACAGGAGGGGCGCTGCGAGGGTACTTCAACGTGACTGTTTGGTCCTTTATATTTTTACACCTTGTCGTGCCTGCTGTCGCAGAGCCACGCACACGGCGAAAGGAGCACAACCGAAGCCAGCGCTGTCAGAGGCAGGAAGTTCAATCCCAGAATACAGTAACAGCCCAGACCAGGAAAAAATGGGTAAAGCTGAGCGGCTATTTAGCCTCAGAGGGGGCAGAGTCACCCACGATGGACGGAGCGTCCTCTTGACCCGCATCCTAGCGTCCTGGTTTATACAGAAACCAGTTTAGCTCCGCACACTACCGCGTGCATGACACGGAAGGGCTCCGTAAAGCTGGCCAGCCGGCGGAGCGTTAGGTTCCGCCGCTAAACAATAACTTGCTTCGTGAAATGCGTTAGCTGGCCTTCTACAGAATGCCCATTTTTAAGCCAACCGTCTGATACGCGCGGTGGAGTGCGGAGCTAAAGTGGTGTCTGTAAACAGCCACCATGCATTGGATGTCAGGATGATTTAGCGGTCGAATAATATTGATGCCAATGATTTTGCAATAGAAATACCCATTATCGTATATCGCTAAACATCCATCATACATTCTTAGGGACTTTGGGAATGTAGCGGTCGAACGGTATTTTATGTTGATGACAACAACGCAATGAGATGATACTGAAGTGAAATGCGTTATCTAGAATATGGTTTTAAATGGTCTCTATGTTCCGAATATGAAATTATCGGCCCTTATCGGCCCTTATCACTTCCTGTACCCCACCGAACATGTTCCCGTCCCACCCTGTACATCACTTCTTGGAACCAACGCCCCACTGCTGCTGGGACGCGCGCTATGAATTTCGTGAAATTTGCGTTTCAGCGCCTCTTATCAACCCTTATCAGCCCTTATCACTTCCTGTACCCCACCGAACGTGTTCCCGTCCCACCCTGTACATCACTTCTTGGAACCAACGCCCCACTGCTGCTGGGACGCGCGCTATGAATTTCGTGAAATTTGCGTTTCAGCGCCTCTTATCAGATCTTATCATTCGTTATCACTTGTCTGCCCCACACTTCGTATAATGTTCGCTATACCCCCCCGTAAAGGAATTTAAAAGCATTTTACACTCGATTACGAGGTTTGCCCACCTATCTGTCCATTCCTAGCGCCTGGCAAGCGATTATCAGCTGGCAGCCCATATGGGCTGCCATCGTCCCAGAGCACATGTTGTTGGCAGCCCATATGGGCGGCCATCGGCGTGAATGTGTTAAGATAGTAACGAGAAATTGCTGCAGTCTGTGTATGAAGACGAACTTACCAATATGGAGAAGCTGTGACTCAACGTCATCAATCAGTGTGTTAACCAATTTTTCTCTACCATACTCTTGCACGCTGATCATGCACTTCCGAAGAGTTGAAAGGGTTGGATAGGATTTTGGAAAGTTCACCACAGCCATCTCGTAAATCTGCAACATTTATGTCCTAAGTGTTGTCCTAAGGTCAGTAAACCAACAGCGGTTTTGTCATTTTGACGCATACTCACCGAATCCGTCAGACGGTCAATGATGGCCTTCATGAGGAAATTTCTGCCAAGGTCTTGTATTGTATTCAGATCGCCCTTATCTGGCAGAGGAATTGTGCTCAACCATGTCCACAAAACTTCGTATATCTGTAAGAAAGACCGTAATATGACGAAATCTGCGCCAGCTTAAATGAAATCAGCCCAACCTCTTCCATTTGTTCAATGGTCAAACCACCAGTACGTTCGAGCACGTGTTCTATATATGCCTTCCCCACCTTCACGTACGTCGCGTGAGCCACTGCGGTGACGAGATCATTCAATTGAAACCGTCCTTCTACCCTTCAAATCATGCTCAAATCAAGCGTCGGTAAACAGCAACATGATTCCGGACGAAGCAGAGAAGAGGAGCAGAGCTACTGGGTGAGGTAAAATTAACACACTGGCGACAATGTCACCCTTTGAATTTTATTCCTTTGCGCATATTCCAAATTTTGAGCGGTGCTATATTAACCCGGAATACGTTGTCAAACTTGTAATGGCCACGTTCTTTGAACATCTTTCACAGTGAAAGTTTTACAGAAGGGTTGCTTGGAATTGCTTCTTCAGTGATAAGGTTGTTCTTTCTTGATGTAGAAAGCTGCCTTTTTGTATGCTATTAGCTAGCTCAATGATACAACAATTGGCAAAAAAGAGATTTGTGTTCAACCTCATTTGTGGATTCTACAGTGGAAAATTGGAATTTTCCGAGAGCGTTCCGAAGTTTCACCTTTGCGGGACGGGGATATTTGCTTGGTTTGTTTTTGCCATTAAAGGAAGCGATTACGATAGATCTCAAAGGGGTTTAGAGGGGACGTGGGGGTCTCAATAGTACGCCAATGGCGAAAAAAGCAAAGAAATCCGTCGAAAATAAGCTAACAAGCGTAGTGTTTGATTGATAAGGCAATACGTGGGCAAGTTGGAAGATACAGCCGCTAGAAGGGAAATGATCATCCAAAATGAAAAGCCAACAGCAAACAGTCCATCCAGATCATCAACAAAACTAGTGGGCGTCACGTCACTGGGGGCGGAGCGTCACGCGGGTCCTGCTCAGCAACCACAGCACCTTTCGCCGTGGGAGGGCCACACATCGCTTCCTTGGCAGCCAAGTAATTGCTCCGTGTGGCGCAGGTTCTCCCCGATGCGAAAATTCTTATCGTAATCGCTTCCTTTAAGCATTTGTACGAGACTAATGATGTTCCAGCAGTTTCCGCATTGTGTTCTCATTGATTTGGTATGTACACCGTATGGAAGCGTTTCAGCATTAGGACGCAATTTTCGAGAACACCCAAAAACTGCTTGGTCCCAAATGTGTTAAGGTTCACAAATATTTTGTTGGAATTTCGAAAGTAACTTTTTGAAATCCATGCAACCACAAACATTCTTTGTAGAAACTAGAAACGACTAAAGTCAAAACAGCGGTACAACGGTCTCCAAAACGATCGCCTCTAGACAATGAAATCGGGGACCTGCTCGGCGCTCTTTCATGGCCCACTCTCGGTCAACGTCTTGAAGCGAAGCCTTTGCAGAATTCACCCGATACCCACTCTGAAGTGATGACAAGCTCATGGTTTTGAAAAATACAAAGCTTGTACGCTGTTCAAACAAAGTCTAAAAATTTGAGAAATGGTCAAGAACTCCTTCGCATCGCGCTCTGTTGGACTTTGATGGTTGCACATTACAGGGCGGAGGCCCGAACCACTCCGTAATCCGTGCGTTTTAGTAGTTTAACGCTTTTTATCTCATGCAACACACCATGAAAGAATAGGACGGGGAGCTCTGCGATAAGATTTTTAACCCATTGCGGACCGCCGTTATAATTGCACCTCCGTAGGTTTTTGTCATCTCTTTTATCAGTGGCCAATAATCTATCAAAAATTAACCAGTATGCAAATAAGTGATATATCCTGTGTCCGAAAAAGTAAACTGCTGATTTTGTAACTTAGCAAAATGCTGAAAAAATCGAAGATTACTATCCTTCTCCGCGTGGTGGCGTGCTGCACCATGTGCAGCACGCGGTCCGCAATGGGTTAAGAATCCAAGATACATGGAACCACCAGTAATCGCTCACCCTGTTTGAACATGTATCTATCCAATACGTATTAAGAGCAGAACAGCGCAAGAGCAACAAATAAACCTACATGTAAGCTATTGTTTCACGCATTGCGTTGGCAGTAGACCGACGTTTCTCAAGTTTTCCAGACCTCTTCGAGAGAATATGATCAAAGAAGTCGCCCTGCTCAAGTGGATCACGGCGGCAAGTATTCGCTTCAACAACATTCATACCTAAAATTCGACTCTAGGTTCTGAGAGCTACACATGTGCCACTTATTAAAAAATCGAACGGAACCTATCGAGTTGCATTTCTGACTTACATCGGATGGAAGTGAAGTGATTGATCATTAGGGGCATTAATCGACGAGTCCATTCTGCCCAGTCATGGCGAGGAAAGAGAAGATCAGGAACATGCCGCCAAATTTTGTCAGAAAAATTGCTTGATATGTTTCCACTCACAACGGCTAGCAGTAACTGAAATAACGTTTTCTGAGAGCAAAATAATAACGCTAATAAGCAACTGCTGAGCAATTGTGAACAATGGCCACGAAACAAAAACACAAGCAGAACACAAGAGAAAAGCAAAGAAAACTGAAAAGTAGTGAATGCCATAAAGATGCCACTCATGCAAGGTATATGAGCCAGAGTTAAATAAAAGGAAGGATGAGGGCGTTCATTCAGGTAT